GATTTGGGCTGTACTCAGCAAGCGCAGTACAGCTTCCAACTCAGATCTGAAAAAAAATCAGTGGATGGCTGTTTTCTGACTGGTCAGCAGACCGCCGACCGGTGAGCCCTACTGCTCCTCTGCAAAACGGTCGGCGGTCAGGGTCGGCGGTCGGGGTCGGCGATAGGCAGGTATGCAAGCATGATAGACACATAAAACCTAGGGAAGGAAATAGAGACTACCTTCTTCCCCCTAATACAACATACGGTCATTATGACTGTATTTTCGACTGAAAGATGCCCCAAATACAGCTATAATGACCGTACAGTGTACACTGTATTTGGGCGAAGAAGGTAGTGTCTGGTCGACCATCGATTCAAGCCAGGACTTGCCCAGATATGAGGAGAGAAGGACTTACCTGAATATGCTTCAGACATCTCTCTTGGTTTGCTATGTTCAGCGCGATCTTCTCGCACGGGGCATCATATTTCGTCAGCTCCTTCTTGAAGAGCTCTTCATAGGACGACGTCGTTGCCATCAATCTTGGTAAAATGTTATCCTGTTACAAGAACACAGCCACACAGTAGTAGTTCAACAACAGCAAACAACAAGCGATCATAGCCACAGCCGCATTCTAACTTCTTCATCATCATCATCATCATCATCATCATCATGAACACCTCACTAGCCCCCAATGAAGATGTTTGATGAAGGTCAGGCAACAAAGCCAACATACATCTGCTGCCTTGAGCATGCTTGTTAAAATCATAGCAAGAAGAAATGTGGAAACAGTCCGAAATAGTCGGAAATACACAATTCAATTGAATTCATACGATACAAGTGTACAAAAGGCAAAGGAGGCTGACAGTGAAAGGTATGGATCACACGATGGACAGTAGAATGGCGAAATGTGGACATGAAGTAGCAGGCCAGTCCAAGCAAAATGTCAATTGCAGTGCCACATATGCACACAGGTTACCTCCAGGATGAGTAGCTCCACCACTATGAATTGAACACCCACCTCTCCTCCGAACATAGTTGGGGTGTGTGTCTATTATCTAAGTAAACATACGGAACCCAGTTGGCACTGCTCCACTGTCATCACAGTTTGCTGCCGTGAGATGAGCAGTCGAAAATTCAGCCACTACCGTCTTCCCCTGAATAGAACGTACGTCGTACGGTCATTATACCTGTATTCGGGCAGCTTTCAATCTAGAATCTAGATACAGCGACAATGACCACACCTTCTATTCGGGAGAAGGCCACAGTTTCGCAAAGGCAATCCGCTCTGTATCTTCATCCAAAAGAGAACCAGCAGGTCGGGTTCGAACTTGCAGGTCGGGTTCGAACTTTGAAGACGATTCCAGAATATACTGTGTATCATATCACTTTTTTCGTAAAGTCAGCGTGATTTCCACTCATTTGATTCCATTGGAATTTGAGCTCAGGTCTGTATCTCAACAGTTCATGGGCATACTAACCGAGCTAGGCCAGTTGGTGCAATGTGAAACATATCATAATTAGAATTACAAGTCGTAAAAGAGAAAAAAAGAAAAGGATTACCAGTCATTAACCCCTACCGACAATTTTGTGAATGATGCAATCACATATCCAGGTGACACACAAGTCCCTTCGCACCACGATAAAGAATAGAATTGACAAATTGACAAATTGTTCATTTTCGCATTCACCTCATAAAGAAAAAACAGAACAAACGAAAACTCCATTCGCCACCTCAGAGCAGACAAGACGATAACGCGTTAAAGAGGACCAAAAACAAATTGTGAGCGACACATACTGCTTTCCTGCGCGTTCTCTGACCTTCTGTTTCATGTTTTTCAGCATATCTTCGAGGTCGGCACGCTCTCCCCCAAGCTTTTCTAGCTCATTCTGCACCACACAGAGAGATTGCCAGACAGATCACAGGACCAGAGATGAAGTTCGCAATCAGCACGACGAGGCTCGAACAGGTCACAGGACCAGAGATGAAGTTAGCAATCAGCACGACGAGGCTCGCAAACATTGCATTTCTCCATCCATCTCCCTCACAACGACGGACTGACCAGAAGCGGCACCAGTCAGAGGACCAGGAGAAGTAGAGCCTATCTTGTAAAAATTGCACATCACTGCTTGCACAACTGCTTGCTTGAAGTCTCCATACAGAAGTCATAGAAGTCGCAGCAGAAAGAGGAGGAGGAGGAGGAGGAGGAGGAGGAGATCGTTATAATATATCAAGAACAGCTTGTGCACATGGAAATTTGCCTTTGATAGCGCTCTTTCTCACTCAATCCCAAGACATCCACCCATATATCTCCACTAGACAACTGGAAGGTAGGACGTAGGGGCGGACGGTAGGACAGAGAGGTAGGGCACCGGCACCAACTAGTGACCCAAATCATGATCCGTCCACTTTCTATATTTAGCAGAAGCCTGGTTCATCCTAAGGGCAAACTTTTTTTTTTTTTTTTTTTTTTTTTGAAAACAGAACCTCTCGGTTCTGGCTCCTGCCATTCTGGGGAGCAACAGTGCGGTTCCTATTCCCCAGGTAAGTCAAGTATAAATACAATGAACACACGCGCACGCTCCTCCCCATTATGGCCGAGAGGCCCGAGTGGACGGCATTCAAACTAACACCTGCACTGGTGGGGGAATTTCCTAGCTGTACCCGACTGCCTTCGCTACAAAATTCAGTCGAAAGTCTTGGTGTGAGTATGCCCTAAGGGCCGTATACAGACAAAGCACGTTGAACCTGGTCTTGTGCATTCTCACATAACACTTAACGAGCAGGAGCTCAGGTGCGACAGATGTGAAAAAGTGCAAGGAAGCGGAAAACACGAAGAAGAAAAGAAAGGGCAGAAATCACACACTGAAACTCTTGCTTTTTGTTATTCACAAGTCGGGTGCGTTGCAGCTTCGCTCTCCGCGGAGCAGGTACAGGCATACATGGTAGGAAGTCGCACACACAGGGCGGAAGAAAAAGAAGAACTCGAAACAGGATGCAGATAGTACAGATTTATGCGTTTCAACTTTCAAGTCGCCAGAAAACCATCACACAAATACATACGTAACAGAGGTAGTATAGGAGAGTCAACTAAGCACACAGTTGAGAGGAGCCAACTACAGTTAGAGGAAATCAGCACAGGTCTGTGCCTGCACAGGCAAGTTCCACTGTGCTGTGTGCATCATTTGCAACCGATACCATCCCCCTCCTCCTCTCCCTCCGTTTGATCATCTCCGCCCACGGCAAAAGCCCGACATCCTATTCTCTCTCTCTCTCTCTCTCTCTCTCTCTCTCTCTCTCTCTCTCTCTCTCTCTCTCTCTCTCTCTCTCATGTGGGCTGGTCTGCTGGAACCCCCATTCCCCAACCAAAACAAAAGTGAACCCCCAAAAGATAACCCACCCACAAAAGATAGAAGCACTATATACTTGAAAAGCGCACACACAGAGACATGATGCTAACAAGACAGAAAGGAAGAGCACACCACAGCACCTCTAGGTGATACGACGGCTGGGCAGTATTATGTGGCCTGGGTGATCATACATGGGTTGGTTGTACCATGTGGAGTGACTGGTCTGGTTGCGGGGTTCTATGTGAGGCGGGTCTTCTATTCTTTCCCTTAAAGATATGTCAAGTGGATGGTACTATGGCCTTGCTGTACATCTGGGGGAGGTAGGGTGATGATATGTGGGCTGGGTGGTGCAATGTGGGTGGGCTATGCAAGTGATGCTATATAGGGCTGAGCTGTGGGAACCACTATGTACTTGCGTGATGCTATGTGCCCCGCACGTGGCCGAAAGAAAACAATAAACTCAGTGCCCTAGCTGCCCACCGCACAGCCAAACACGCAAAGCACAAACAACAATGCCCCACACGTCGCCAAAAGAAAAAAATAACGCAGTGCCCTAACTGCCCACCGCACAGCCAAACATTAAAAAAAAACGATGTTCCAAGTATGACACCACACATGCGGAACCACTGGGTGTGCCCAACTGGGTCCCACGGGACTGTGGGAGAGCATCATGCGAGACCCACCTTATGCTTTAATATTATAGAAGATATTTTCTGTTGTCCTGTTTCCTCATCGTTGGTTATATTTCCATTTCCTTCACTTTTTGCCTTTCTCGGCCAATTGGCATCAAATAGAAGCTTCCCACCCTCATTCGTGTGGCTGCAAGGGAAGCACCCATTCACCGTTCTTTCCGGAGCACGCTTGCAAGACATGGGAAACTAAAAAGCCCAGGTTTGTGCAATCATTCCACTGCAGTAGAAACAAGCAATCAATAGCATGCCACAGCTGTAGACTTCATACATCTAGGGTTGTCACACCCTGGCCCCATATCCCCTGCCGGAGCCCGTGGGCGCGGGGGCTCGACCCCTAACACCGGGAGTTGGGGCATTGACGACAACAAAAAAAGAATGGGAGGGCCACTGGGGCAAGGGCGGGCCGGTGTTCAACTTTT